AGAGAGAGAGAGAGCGAGAGAAAGAGAAAGAGAGAGAGAAAGAGAGAGAGAAAGCCCGCGCGCGCGAAAGAGAGAATGAAATAGAGAGAGTAGGAGAGAGTTTAGAACGCATTAATTAAACACGCGGTTCGTCTTATCTCTATCGAATATATTATATACAAACATAAATCTGTCGCCGCAATCTTAACTCCCGTAATCATATACCAACCAGGCCAATAAATAAATAAATTAATTAATTAATTAATTAATATATATAAATAAATGGGTAAATAAATTAATAATAATTAATTAAATACATAATTAAATAGTAAAGTAAAGGAGAAGGCAAGAAGGAACGAATAAATACGAGAAAGTACGAAGAAATAATACACACACAGACTATTTTATATTATTTCCATTATCATTCGGGATAAGTTGTCGCTGATGTGGGACTATGCACGCGTCTGTTGGTTCCTAGTCTTTCAAAGTATTTTGTAAACAAAATCTACTTTCTTGCTTTAAATTATTGCCCTTTCGTTTAATTTTCATATTAGTGTGTACGATAAAAGTATAACAACACCACTCCTTCATCTGGGCTGGATTGCGGTTATCAGTCGTTCATCGATCACTGCTCATGCGACCGATTATCGAAGATGATCAATATCTATTTCAGAGCAGTCGTGCTGGGTTTACTGATGTATCATCGACATGTAACACCGAATACGTCACTGTATCGTTACCATGTAACGCTCAGAGCGCGTTGTGTGCACTATGGAAACAATAATGACAGAGATATTGGTTTAGCAAATAACAACGCGTTTATTATGAAGTAATAAAGAAATCAAACACGAAATCCGTGACGTAACAATGAGTAATAGTCGATAGAGTATGTTCGTGTACATATTTACACTGACACGCGGATATCGCGTGATACGCACTGTGGTCACGTGACGCACGTTAGTGACATCATGATGGCGAATGTATCTAGACAAATCGTGGTGCGTCGAACATAAAGATAAAGATAATAACACACATAGATAACAGTTCGTGAGAGACACAGGCGTAACGAATCAACAGAATACCTCTAATTACCATCGAAGTAATGACCATGAACAAACATCAACTCGCAAAGCAACAATCTAGTTCTACGCTGATTTCCTAGTAAGAATGGGACGCTAGTGGAAAAACGAGTCGTCATGACGCCGCGGGATGTGTCTAGTGGAATGCCGCGTCGCCATGACGCCGCGGGATGTGTCTAGTGGAAAGCCGCGTCGCCATGACGCCGCGGGATATGTCTAGTGGAATGCCGCGTCGCCATGACGCCGCGGGATGTGTCTAGTGGAAAGCCGCTTCGCCATGACGCCGCGGGATGTGTCTAGTGGAAAAACGCGTCCCGATGACGTCTCTTCCGGCGGATGTGTCTAGCGGTAGTAGCGTCTGCGTCTGTAGGCGTTACGTGACTTACGTCTGCGGTGCACGCACATCCCCACAGCGAGCGGGTCGTCGATGCGTTTGTAACATTTCAACGATCGCGCGCACCTGCCGTAGATATTGCGCGGACCGCCACATTTCTCGTACGGGCCCTAAAAACCAGAGAGCAGGTTAATGTAGTCCTAGCAACGAGGAACGGTACATGACGCTGACGAACGTGGTGACGTCTGCATGACAATTTGATTCGGTATATAAATATCCATCATTCAGTAAATGAATAATTATATATATATATATATATATATATATATATATATATTTTATGTAATGAAGGACCTAACAGGTTGCTGAAGTCTTGCAGGGAGCTGAAAACACCAGCTAGAGCAACTACTAATTACCCTTCTTTTCATAAACCCACCATACACTGCTACACACAAACAATAACGCCCTATGTCTAATCAGTCGCATGCGCAGCATAGGAACAGTAGGGGGTCTACTACAGCAGCAGTAATAGATAAAATACGCAGGTATAGTGGGATTTAATTGATTTTGCAGTAGCGTTATTTCAAAAGCACGACCGATAAGTGCAAGAACATTGTCAAACGCAGACTTCATCTCTTGTCTCAGCCAAACCATAAATCTTTTATCGTGAACGATAATTGGGTAATCTCGCCGATAAAGACATTTCGCTACCCACTTATATAGCACTAGGCAACCCAACCACTAACCCCCCATAGATTGCATATTCCAGATCACATTATTTTGTAAGATCGTGCGCAGACTCTAACTGATTTGGTATTTTAAGACATAGAGTTGCACATTTGTCAGTAACGGCATATTTTTTTGATTTCCAATTTGAGCTCACAATACATGTTAAAATTTTATGTAATGATTTCAGTTGTGCGTACTTTTAAACGCATTACAGTTTATGTATTCTAAATAACAAAGTTAATTTTTACTCAACCGTGCAAGTTTGAAACGTACCGCTGACGTTTCGCCTCCTGCCAGGAGGCTTTCTCAAAGCAAACTGAAGTTAATCAGTTTTGACCACCAGATGGTGTGGTGGTCAATAGCTTAGTCCACACGTGACTAAGCTTAATTGTATCCCCCCCTCGTCCCGGTTGATGTTTGGGGTCTTGCGGATCCAGATGGCCTCTTTAATCCAACGCCTGATTTTGATTGGCTCGCGATCGATGATCTTCGAATTCTCCCAATCGATGGTGTGATTGTCCTTCGCTACATGGTCAGTGATCGCGGATTTGGTGATTTCGGTAGCCGACTGTTTTCGTTGGGCCCTTGTGAACGATTTGGGTGCTACGGTGTCTACGTCCTTTTTGTGTTCTTTTAGACGGGTTTTAAATTTTCGGCCGGTTTCTCCAATGTAACTTTTTTTACACATTGCACACTGTATATTGTAGACACAGTCCGTAATGTTGTGCATATCTGTTTTGTCCTTAGGGTGTACCAAAAGCCGTTTTAGAGTCTCAAAACCTGTATTTTTTTTCACTCTGATTAACTTCAGTTTGCTTTGAGAAAGCCTCCTGGCAGGAGGCGAAACGTAAGCGGTTTGTTTCAAACTTGCACGGTTGAGTAAAAATTAACTTTGTTATTTATATTATTCTACCAACCGAATGAACTTATTTAATGAGTTTATGTATTGATTTTCTTTTCTTTTGTTTAATCCTACGTTCGACGTGTTACACGTTTATCTCATGCTTACATTTTGCTTTACTTTTTTTCTACCACGTCTGTCTACTAATTGTGTTTACCTAAGGGCCTAGTGCCCGTGCCAAAGGCAGAACCTGGTACCTATACGATCATAGCTGCATTACATATATATATATATATATATAACATACGACAATATCAGCGGCATTATAAGCAACATAGTAGAATAATAAGCATTTTTACCCAATTAATAGCAATCATATAGCAAGACAATGAATCAATTTTACGATTATACACAAGGGAACCCAAATATACCTAATAGCATGCAATAATTTACAATAACACGCAGTTAGCTGCTGCACTATGATGCAGTTGTAGACCATGACGGCGTACCTTGGCGCACTGGTAGCAGCAGTGACATGAGTCCATCACTATACCGTAGGGGCAGTACTGGGGGTTCGGGCACGGGTACTCGATGGGCGTCTGTCCGGTGGGAGTGAGGAACAAACCATTGTAGCAGGGTAAACAGTCATAGTCCAGCGAATAGCTCCAAACACTGCGGACACAACGTGCGCCCCCGCACAGAGTCGTTACTACATAGCATGCCAACATACGCACACATACGCGCGCACGCACACTAACACTCACTCACATGCACATGCACCGCACACGCACGCACGCACGCACGCACGCACGCACACACACACACACACACACACACACACACACACACACACATACACACACACCGAACCATAGCAATTCGAGTAGGCTAAGTCAGGTCACATTATTACACATTGTTTCTTATAGACGTTGAATTAATATAGGCCATACAAAAGTCCTGCGTTTCACGTGCTTTTATTTCAATTATAGGTGGTATGGCTTCTATTATATGGCCCTTTTTTATTCCAGCGTAAAACGTCGGCCGCAAGCGGGCAAACTACTTTAGACCGTAAAGTTTATAGGCAACAACATATAACACACAAGGAGAGCCATGGTATGCATGAACGCCTGTGATAAGTGCCCATTTTCTGCACGAGCAAAATTACCAGACGGAAAAAACCGACTTTATTGTGAGAAATCTCTCAAGTGAAGCCTGCAATCAAACGTGAAATTTTAAGAAATACATGAATTAAATATTAATTAATTAAACTATGAATCTGGTCTATATCGGTGCTCGTGACTGTCATCGCTGCTGTATTAGAATGTGAGGATTATGTACGGGAGGGGGCGTGGCAACGTGATGATTGACAGCTGATATCGGAGCGCGTGTTACGTACCTGGTAGCCGCGACCAGACACAGCAAGGCCGCAATTCTCCACATCTCTGCTATAGTCGACGAAACCTGGAACACAACACCCACGTCATTAACCCTCACAGGCACGGGCAGTGCTTCCGGTAACGTTTTCGGTCGCGATCGCGCGCATGCGCATTATTGCCATCACCTACACGCCGACGGTGCTCTGAGGCAGACTCCTCAATGAATCCGGGACCGGCGAGAAACAGACGATAACAGGCGTTCCTTACAGCGGTGCGCTAGAAAGTGACCGCGTGACAGAGAGTAAACTATAGTAACTGCAGCGTTAATGTACTGTGCTGTAACGGCCACATACTGTCCTATGTGTAGTAGTCGGCGAGGGCAACCACGGATGTGCGCGCTCAATATTCCTCTCTCTCTCTCTCTCTCTTTCTCTCTCTCTCTCTCTCTCTCTCTCTCTCTCTCTCTCTCTCGCTTTATGTCGGACGGACGGACACTCTCCTTACATGCGCACCGCTTGATTGTTACGGCGTTTGTTGGTTGTGACGCTTAATTGATATGTCACCAGCCACCTGTGTTGGTTAAGGTAGCAGACGCCTGTCTTTTATAGGTCACATTCTAGGTCAGCGACTCTGCGGCGAGTCAGCGCGCCCATTTGGCTGCCATTCTTGTCCCACCCCACGGTGCATCGCGGGGCACGTGCGTGCGGCGCGCCGCCCGCGTCCGCCGCCGCAAATCCACGACAGAAGGCGCTCTCGCTCTGGCTCATTTCTACGCACTGCAACAAGCGTCTGATTTCCGTAAGAATTTCTTACGCTTTTTTTACTATAAGTTTTACAGCGACCCGTTACCTGTCCTATGTAAACGGTGTGTACTTATAAAAGCTGCAAAAGATATTAAAAATCCAACCATTATTTATGAGAAATTTGATAAAATAGTGATACGAAATAATGCGCCCATTTACTACTTTCAATCATTACGCTGTTTACTAAACTAAGTTCACGTATTTATCATGAATTTTTTGGGATGATTGCCATTATACCTAATTCTCGAACATTGTCTTTGATACATTTGTGCGTATTCAGCTTAAAACATCTAAATTTGTCGCACCAACAAACATGCAAATCATAGAAATTTCTAATGTTTTGTTCGAGCGAGTTGCCGCCGTTGGATTGCCATTCGCTGGATTTCCCCAGAGCTCCGCCCACTTTAAAAATAGTGCTAGCATTGGTGGCAGTGGTATTATCCTGAGTGTGGAAGCGGCACTGCATGCAGTTTGCCGCCGCCGCTGTGTGCGTGAGCCCGATTTACGAGTGAAAGCGCGGCGGCGGAACGTGCAGACGATTAGAAGAGTAGAATGTAGTTCTTAGTGTCCAACACCCGAATTAGGTGTAGCCCGCTCAGGGTGACTGATCAGTACGTGTTAGTATAGTAGCTGAACAGTAGCGGCTTGATGACATCGCCTTAGTTTGCATGCGCCGTGTCGCAGAATGGATGTGTGCCCGATAAACCAACCGATGTAACCCTAACCCTAACCTGTTCTGCTTGCATCTATGACAAATACGACATAACGCATATACGCTCTCCTATGGCACTATATTTGT